CTTAATTTACTAACTTTCCTTTCTTGTTTTGAATTTTCACTTTAAAATGAATCTAATTGGTCCATAATTTTCAAGACTTTGACTCATTTTTATAATTTTCTCTAATCATAATTAGATCAAATTAAGATCACTTTGAGTCTACAAAATTTGCCAAGCATTAAATTAAACAAGACATCAAATTAATATTGTAGAAAATATTTCTTTAGACAACTTTACCTACCCTATCCATGACATAAAATTAATTATGGTTGAATGGGTAACCTAAATATATTAGAGTCAATATTATTTTATTTTAATTTTCTTTTCATTTTATTTTATTCCATATCCATAGATGTAGGGTTTCAGTTTTATATTATTTTGACCATCATAGATCTTATATTTTCGATATGTAGCAATTAGGGTTGGCACCAAAAATGAGCCGGGTTGGGTTGGCCAAAACGAGCTGCCAACCCGGCTCGTTTCAACCCGTGAAAAAACGAGTCAACCCGGGTCAAACGAACCAGCTCGCGAGGTGAGTTTTTTTTTTATAAAAAAATACAAAATATAATATACAAAAATGAACAAAACCCACATATGTTGTCATCATTTTTTTTTTCTTCCTTCTATAAACTTAAGTCCCTAATCTTCTCACATCCCTGCCATTTTTATATTGTTAGGTTGTGCTGGCTCTGTTTGGTTCAAATATCTCACTCACTTGGTAGCAAGTGGTTCTGATTGTTTCTTGATATTGATGCAAATTTGTTGTGAAGAAAATTCTAAACTAAAATATTTTGTTTTTATTTCTCATTTTGTAACCTTTTGTTTAAGCTAATGGAAGCCACATAGCTAGTGCATTAATACTACATGGTCATTTAAATAGGCTGAAAACGAGCCAACCCACGAGCAATTTCGAGCCAACCCGCGAGCCAATTTTCGAGCCAACTCGCGAGCTATTTTTTCAAATCAACCCACGAGCCATATTTTTTAGCCAACCCGCGAGCCAACCCTAACCCGACTCAGGTAGGGTTGGGTTGAGTTTTCTGACTCGTTTTTTTTTTGGAGCCAACCCTAATCCGGCTTGTTTTTTTCGGGTTGAATGCGGGTCGAGTCGGGTCGGGCCGGATTGGACCGTTTTGCCAACTCTAGTAGCAATTAATCTAGTTACTTTAATTTGTATAATAAATTTGCCTTTGGCTGGATTCTGAACCGGCTCGTATAGGCTCATTTCTCTGTCAAAAGCTCATAAAAAGGGTTATACTTATTTTTGCATCCCTAAAGTGAGACAATTACAATCTCATTACATTGAATCTCACTTCCTGAATACATCCACCTCATGCACCGGATAAGAATGTTTGTCTCATACCTAATAAGGTCCACAAAAGTAAAACAATTACAACTCCCTTACATTCATTATTGAGGAATTTTCTCTCTCGATATATATATATATATATATATATATATATATATATATATATATATATATATATATATATATCTCTTCTGTCAATGAAGAAGCACATTTGGCATACCTATTCTTCATATTGTTATTATGCTGAAATATTTGGGAGCCACTAGAGATGTTTTTCCTATTGAATTTAGGTTTCTGCCCCTTAAGATCACTATATATTGACATAATTTATCCATTTGAGAAAAGAAAAAAAAAGGTCGCTTCTTAGTTGTTCTTTTTAGACTTGCTGTGTATTATATTGCACATGTTGATCATTTGTTGATAAATATACCCTTTATTCTACAGGAGAACATTTTTACATAGCTTAAAATATTCTCTCACAAACAAAAACTTCGATTTTTTGACTCTTATTTCTCCAAAGGAACGAGTGCTAGTACGGGTGTTGCACAACTTGACTGATTCATCGCAAAAGCAACTTCAATTTTTCTTTTTAATCCACCGAAAATAGGAAGTATCTTTTTTTATGGAGAAAAAAAAAATGTCAATTCGGTTTTAATTACCGTTACCTGATACAACGGCAGATGTGGTTCTTTCAAAACTCACGCACAGAAAAAGAAAATAATAAAAGGGGATCATTTATGTTATGGTTATCTCATGCAACAGAAACAAAGTAGTGGGATCCACTAGACAAAGTAATGAGATCCACTAAAATAGTGAATCCCACTACTTTATCTCTGTTGCATAAGATAATTATCTCGTATAACATGAGATAATTATTTCTCATAATAAAATTATAATAAATATAGGACAAACCAAACAGGCAGAGATGCATGTTTCATAACGTACACAAAACACAATAATATATCATTGTGAGATGACTGATTCTTCTCTGACTCAGTAGTTTATGAGATCGTATAGATATTTGCCGTATGCTACGCGCGTACTACATTCACTGCATATAACAACTGTTGGTTGGTGATTGGATATTTGGGTTTGGTTGCATGTATATTCTCCTCTTCTCCAATCTTGTAGCATGTCAGTGGGTATCATCTAACAAATCATCATTTGGTGTTGTACAACACTTACTAAACATCATGTGCCTTCCGCGAAGGATCCCCGAGTGAGAACGTGTCATGTGCGTGTATACTGTACAGTCCCACCTTAATCCCAAGTCAATCTCAAGTCAACCCACAATAATAAACATATTATTGTGGCCATCACTTCATTATTATAATCCCCATCTGAATTTGTACACTAAATTCTTGCATTGTTTTTTTGTGTAGTAATAATAATAATCACACAAAATTAAAATAAAATCCAATCATTATCTAATAAAAAAAGTAAATCATTATTCAGTACTCATGACACCATTAACGTTACATTACATATTCGTATTCTATGAGTAAGTCAATAACTTGGAATATCTTTGTATATTTTCCATTCTTAATAAGTAAAGTCTAATCTAGAAAAGGTGAATTAATAACTCATATTCAGTGTGCAAGACAAATGAGTGCGGCGGATATGGTTGTAAGTCTTTATTCAATTCGGTGGTCGGCAGGGGACGTAGTCAGTGCTCCTAATGGCAACGAAGCTTCGTCAACTTCCACCGACGCTGCTGCGTATAATTTAATAGTAGTAATGTTCACATTAGTTTTCACAAGAAATTCATGTAAAATAATTTAAGATTCCTACTTCTAAAGCTCATGGAGCTTATGCCAATCTCTTTCACCCAAACCAAAGCAACAACAACTCATTTCCCACCATTCTACTTCCACCGTTACAAGCTTTCCCCTGGTCATCAAGGTCAGCGATTCGAGAGAGAAAGAATAGTCTTAGTAAGAATTCGGCTACAGTTATAAATTAGCGAAAACTTGCATAAATTTAAAAAATACAAACGTACTTATCACATGTAAGAAATGTTTACTTACATAAAAAAAAATAAGTGAACAATCAAGTTCTTTCAGTTTCTTAACTCTTTTTTTTTTTGGTACATTGCCTCCCAGGAGGTATCCTCTCATTCAACCTTCTCCGGGTACCATGCCCTCGGACTAATCCCCTAACCGAAGATTTTTGGCTTATCTCCTGGTCCCCAAAGATTTTCTAAGAATCTGCTTGAGGCAGGGTTTGATCCCTGCACCAAGCAATCCTCTCAGCTGCCAACTGGGCTACCCTTGGGGGTTAGTGTCTTAACTCTTAAGTATCACCTCTTTGGTTCAGACACAAGAAAATGAGCTTTAAAACTAATACACTATAAGAATTTGTTGGAAGAAATCTACTCCATACGCATGAACATCTAACACAATATGTTTTATCTTTAGAAGCAAAGCAGCGAGTATGAATCTAAATGGAAATAGTCCGTGTAAAGGTTATAGAAGAGTAGGTTCGAAGTAACGGAACGTTTGGTTCAGGATAAATTTTTTGTTATCTTGGATATTGATTTTTCTAGGAATATTACAAAAAAAAATTTTTTGATAGGTGAAAATATTCCCAGAAATATTAAATCAATTTTCCTGATGTTATGTTTGGTTGATTATAAAATATGGTTAATATATTAAATTTTTTATTTTTCTGGGAATTCAAAAATACCACCCATGAGAGGTATGAGGTATTTTTGGATGATATTCTTGGTTAAATTTTACTCACAAAACAAAATATCGGGAAAATCACATTCCTGAATTTTTTTTCATAAATTCTCTACCAAATGTGGTTAACTTAGATTACCACCTTCAGTTTTCAGAAATTTGAACAAAAACCCTCTACCAAACATCTTCTTTATAGTGTGTTTTGCGAGAATTACATGCGGATGGAACCGGAAAGCAATGAGGATTTAGGTAACAAACCAGATTATGACTCCTCTAAAGCGTAGAATTGTAACTGTTAATTGGAAAATCAACTTTTGAGACTATAAAAAAATTCATACATATATATAAGAAATTATGAAGTTGGCAAAATTTACTTAACATTTCCAATCAATGGTTATAACTCCATATTTTTCCTTCTAAAATGGATCCCTCACTCGCCAAATCCAACAAAAAATAAAGGCTAATAATATGTTGTCTTAAATTCATTCCTTTGAAGCGCAGCTTGATTAAGCTGTCAAATTCACAAGACAAAGCTCCATATTTTTGAAGTTTGCAAAGTTTACTTAACTTTTCCAATCAATGGTTATAAACTTCCATATTTTTCCTTCTAAAATGGATCCCTCACTCGCCAAATCCAACAAAAAATTACGGCTCAACTATTTACTGAAGGGCTAATAATATGTTGTCTTAAATTCATTCCTTTGAAGCGCAGCTTGATTAAGCAGTCAAATTCACAAGACAAAGCTCAGTATACAGCCTACCACCAATCAATATCTAACCGTTTGATTAAGCAGTCAAATTCACCAGACAAAAAAGTTCATTATACAGCCCGTTTGATTAAGCTGTCAAATTCAAAAGACTAACATGGCCTGTCTGGTAAATCTTGAAAGAGAGATTCAATAAATCGTAGTCATCTTTGCGTCTATGTACCAAAATGGGGGAACTGTAAACTATCACAAATTTGATAACTTCAGTATAAATAATGAATGAATTACCAAAAATAATAACTTAAAAAGTAATTAAATGCTTATTACATCAATATCATTCTACTAAAAAAATTACTAAATGTTATTTTGTTAATATCCCTTCCCGTCTACGGGTGCAAAAAATTCCAATAAATGTTGTCAGATATATTATGTATATCTACAGAAAAGAATCAGCTACTCTAACATCAGGTAACACCTTCTCTTGTACTAATGAAACTTCAGATATAGTGCTCCAATTTGATTAGCATAACACTAGTATCATCCATAGAGCCTCGTGAAACAGACAAATCTACAAGCTTTTTACAGGCCAGCAATGGTTGCGGTTTGTTGTTCCCTACGCAAAAAGGACGAGCAATATCTACTGCTTCCTGGTTACTAACCTGAAATGAGAATGACAAAGAGAAACTTGTCAGTCAAATACATGAACAAAAATATTCTGCAATATTTTCAAAAAGAAACTATTAAGATTGCAATTGACTGCTACCTTATCCCACAATCCGTCTGAAGCTAATATTAACAAGTCATGTTCAGGTTCAATTCTGAGAACTTTGGTCTCAGGTTCTGCTGTCACCCATTGTTTCAGGTGTCGATCTCCAAGTCCCCTAGATACAGCAAGAGATCCCTGGATCCTCCAAACACCACGACATAAATCAACGTAGCCACCCTACAAGACAAATTTAAATGCTTTAGAACCAGCAAAAAAAACTCAAACATTTGGTTTCAATAACTACAGAGAAAAGATAAAGTACTATCATGGTCAGATGCTTACCAGAGTCTCAATTCTGTCCCTTTCATCTTCCCTTGAAGGTCTGTGATCAGATGTTAGGGCCTCTGCAACACCTCCTCTGCTAATCACAGCACGACAATCACCAGCATTGGACACAACAAGGTTACCATTCCTAATCAATGCTGTTACACAGCAAGAGCCACCGTGCTGATCCCCTTTTAAGAAATCAGAATCCGTGTTGAGGTACCCACGCTTCACTGCCTCCTCAACATCATCTTCATCTCTTATGATCACTTCATCCAAGACATTCTTTTCTAAGTTCCTAGCAGCAAATTCAGCAGCTTTTGCACCTCCGTGCCCATCAAATATACCAAAAAAGGCCTGCAAAGATCATGAAACAAATTTAACTGTTAGATTTTATTGCACTAGCATCCATTTAGCTCATTAAGAATCATAAGCAAGACACATTCAGAAAATCTCAATTAATATTACATTCATTGTGATTTTTCCCTAATTTATTTGTTTCAACTATCTATACACATCACAGTAACTATTTAATTCATGCAACAAGATATTATCCCACACATTAATCACTGAGAGAACTTCTTAACTCGAAAACAATTATAAAAACATAGAATTCAACGTTGTATCTCTTCACCCATAATGATGAGCAAGTTGAGAAGAACAAAATATTACAAATTTTTCCTAGCCAGAAGTTGCCTTTTCAAACAGCGCAAATTAAGCAGAAATTTCCAGATGCAGCTATAAGTTCATGAATTTGACAAAACCATCCAGAAAAAAAAAATCAGAATTATTCAAATTCTTCAAACAATTTAAATTTATTCAAACCCAGATCAAATTCAAAAAGAAAGTGTCTAACTTTCCACAACCCCATGCCCTAGAAATACACCATAATCGGAACCGGCCAATCTTTGACAAACTAAAGCACAAAATTCATAATTTTTGAAAAATAAAAAATAAAATAAAATTTCTTACCAGTTTGTGTTCTCCGCGTAGATTATCTCCAGCTGTGTAACGATCCTCCATGTACTCCCTCCTTCCTCTCTTGCAATACACAGTAAACCCCTCTCCCTCAGCCTCAACGACATCACGTGCCACCGCGGACGGCGTCGCCGGAACTCCAAAGGTGAGAGAAGAAATGGGTATGTCAAGCTTGGCCGGTCTCTTCCTCTTCAAAACGGTGGCGTTGGGGGAGGTGGAGGAGGGAGTGGAGGCAGAGAAGGCGGTGAGAGGCTTAGGAAGGCGAAGGCGGAAGGGAGAGGAAGGTGAGGAAGAAGAAGAAGGGGAAGAGGAGGAGGAGCAAGACGACGCCGTAGAAGAAGAAGCGTTCTTGAGATGAGAGAGGGAAAGGTTTAGGGCTTCCGGTGAGGAAGTGATGATGGATTGCTTCGTGCAAAAGAGGGAGGAAGAAGGAGAGAACACCGGCGAATTGGAAACTGCGACGGAGCAAGACATGTTTGAATGGCGTTTGGGTGCTTCCTTTCTCTTTAGTCAAAATTCAAACGTTGGAATTGGTCTTGTCTTTTTGTTTTTTTTATTTGTTCCTTGCTTTCTTTCTTGTATTTGGTTTTGTGTTTGCGTTTAAGTTTTGGCGTTGGGAGAGAGATTCGTATAAGAGATAAAGAATGAGTCATTGGGGGGTATTTAAAGGAGGGGATGAGAAAGTTGTGTTATCAGGGTCGTAACGGAGTCAGTGTGGGACCCTCTCTTTTTTTGTATTTGCGTGTTATTTGCGATTTGCGAGGCATCCGCATGTATACACACACAACAGCTATCACAGTCAATTTCAAAACGATCTTTGACCATGATATATTATCATTATTTGGGCACTCGTTGTACACACTCTAATTTATTCTTAAGGAGAAAGTAAAAGGGAAAAAAATTTATTTTATTTTACAAACCTTCACTTATGGATAAAATTATAATTTAATGTTATTGAGAGAGATAAATAAAAATAGATAAAATAAAAATAGACAGAGTAAACTATTCGTAATAATATTACGGCTAAATTTTTTCGTGAAACATGACATGATAGGTAATCTATTAAAAAATTTCTTCGAGCGATTTGCATGACTTTTGACGAGAGTTAGTAACTTTAAATGGCAATAAAATGTCATTGAATGTTGACCGAGGATATAAATGTAATTTGGATTGGGGAAGACGGGTGGATAAAGTTGTAAAAAAAAAAAAAAAAAATTGTATAGACGTATGACTGTGGTCTTCGATGCGTGTGAATAAATGAAATATAAAACAAAAATAGAAATTGTGCCGTAAGGGTGTTGAAGGAGCGTTTTTTGATTTGAGCTTTGACTTACGCACTGCGAGTACCGCAACGTCACTCCTTGCTTATTAAGATTTGTTTTCTTTCTTTGCATTGTTGTTGTGTGAGTTTTGGGACAGCCATGAAAGAGTGGGGTCCATGGGTGATTTGTATACAAAATGAGGAGAGAAAGTTCTAAGAAGTTACCGTTGTGAAGGGAGGAGAGTGAGAGGACAGGTCATTCTTTATTATTTGCTTGTTTGGCATCATGACCGTTGCCATTTCAAGTTCACATTTCCAACGTTAACAGATATTTTGCTTGCACATCTTTTTAACTCTGTTAGCAGCTCCTCCTCCGTAATAACCGTTTCAACTTGCAACGTTTATTTTCAAAGTTCTAGAATTTTTGTACCAGAAAAGGAAAAAAAAAGTTCTAGAAATTTTTAAAGATTATATTAAAATAAAATTTGTAATTGACATACCATTTATGCTTGTTATAACTAAATAAAAAAATTAAATCAATTTCAATTAAAGAAGTGTGTTCTTATATTACGTTATCAGGTTTAATTAGAAAGTATGAGAAGCGTCAAGGGTCATATAAAAACCAGAACTGCATTTAAGATTTTGAAATGTATTAACTGCATCTAAGATTTTGAAATGTATTAATCACAACTTATTTTTTAATTACTATTGCTTCAATTATCAATTTTTTTTTACAATTTTGAAAAGGTTAATCTCAATTAATATCATTTTCTTTGTGACTAAGGGCTCGTTTGGTGGACATGATAAGATAAAGGTAGGATATGATATGAGGCTGATAAGCCTATATTATGTTCTGTGTTTGATAGCACCTGATTAACAATCTGATAAGATTATGTAGAAAAAAAAAATAAAAAATAAAATAAAATATAATGCAAAAAATACAAATATATTAAATAGCGTGAGAATATATTGAGTAGCGTGAAGATATATTAGGTATCCTATCCTATTTAATCATAACCCAGCTCCCCCCATAATGTATTGGATATGATAAGATGAAACGATAGGATAAGTTAATCATATCCTATTGACCCACCAAACAAGAGATAAAAGTAAGATATGATAAGTTATCTTATCATATCTTCTTTATCAGGTGCTCCAAACATGCCTTAATAGTATGATCGGACCAGATATAGTATGGACTGGCCTATAGGTATAGAGCCCAATCACACACGGTTGAATCACCTTACGTCGTTGTTGGCAAGGGCCAAGTATTGCTGTCGGACTGAGCTTGAGCTTTTGTCCTTCATGTTGGCACGTTGCACCAAATAGGGGGTACCTGCGAAGACACTCCGATGCTTAAGTTAGTATCAGAGGCATGTGTGTTATCTTGTTAAAGTAAAGGATGATCGTACCTTGGTGGTATATCGTGTGTTTATATAGTAACTGGGATACCGCCTTAGTTAAGGCCGCTTGGCTTCTGAGTAGCCAGCCTTGGGCTGCAAGTTATTTAGGGGACCTATATAGCCTTATCTTCCAAAGGGTCTAGTTGTAGATTAGAGGCAAGCTGGAGCTGTTCGTTGTTTACTAGAGCTAAGGCGCGGTGGAGTTATCTTGAGCCTTACGTTTACCCCTCTTATAAGGTTTCATGCGCGATACGAGAATCGAGTCTTGTGTGCCGCGATGAGATCATCGCGTCCTGTATGTCGCGATGGGAATATCGCATCTGGAACGCCGCGATGTGGGCATCGCGTCAATGCTTGTTCCTTGTGCTTCGGAAGGGCTTAAGCTTTCTTTATGGGACTTTGATTGGTCTTATATTTTATCCGGATCAAGTTTTAACTGATATATTTTTTATAAATTAAATTTGTTCTGAATTAAGTGATTTTACCAAAAGATTGGAACACGGTTGTTTAACAATAAAAATCTTAATAAATAATTTGATTCATTAAACCGAATCAAAACGATTTTCATATGCGACTTAACTCATAATATCTTGCCTCGGGGTGAGGAGTCAGCCATGACGTAACGAAAATAAAGGATAACATACATAAGTTACATTTTTTGAATGGCTAATTTATTTACGCAATCGGAAACCCAGTTAATAAATTACGTGAAAATTTACCGAATGCTGTGAAGGTGTATACATTACCTACATTAGTTAACTTTTTTGTTAAATTTTATGTTCCTTGGACTAAATTTTGTTTTAAGTCGTTTTTCCATTTTGGAAAGTGGAAAATAATTATTTTATGTTACATAAGATAATTATTTTATGCAATTAAGATAAGATAACGAGGTCCACTATTTTTTTAAAAATAAAATAAAAAATAAAAGATAATAAATCTCACTATCTTGTCTCTATAGAAGAGAAATAGATCACATAAATTAAAGAAGAATGTAGCTCTCCTATTGTAGGAAAATTGATGCTCTCCGGCCGGTGAGAACTTGATTTACATGCTAATATTTCATTTTTTTCTTTTTTTTATTTAAACCAGTGGAGCCAATTTGATTGTATCAGCTGTAAAATGTCTCTTCTTCGCATGAGAATATGCATCCCTTAAATTAAAATAATGTTATGTTTCTTTTCAATATAGACCAAGAATAAATTTGAAGAAATAACGTGACTCTCGCGCACATTAAATAATGACATAGTCATTAAACAACTTTTTGAAGAAATTATTAGATGATATGTTCATTGAAGAAAAAGCATAAGTCGTTTCCACTTAGTTTTATTATCTAAAGTGGATGTTGTATCATTTATCTAAAGTGAACGTTGTATCATTTAATAAATGTGTGGAGGTAACTGAGGCCAGGTTCACGACTTTAGATTGAATAAAATTAATAGTCGTCATAATACCAAGAATGAAGTTCTACACCAAACTGAGAAACGAAGTAAAAGGCTAAATATTCAGTGAAATGTTAGCAATGTTGTATAAAATGACATTAGATTTGTGCCTATCTTATAAAACTCTATCTCATACTCATCAAAGAAAAGGAAGAGAGTTGACGGTGATCCAATAAGGTTGGCCCAATATCAAGGGTCTAAATCACCTCAGATGGAGCTATCATATTAGCACACATGTAACATGTTTCCAAATAAGACACTGGACTGTCTTACATGGGAGTCACCTTTTTTTCTTTTGTCTGAACAGGCAACCATGTCTCCCCTTTATGCTGCAAAGTGTCTTGCCCCTGCAAGGTTAGGCTAAATGGATCTTTCCTATAATAGTTGACTTAGCTCTATCCTTTTATTCACCATGGAATCTATAAATACCTTGTCCCTCTTCTCCACCAAACATATGATACCTACTTGTATGAGTCGTTACCCTGTCAGCTTGGAGAGCAATTGTAGCCATCTTCCTCCAAATTGTTGAATACATCAATGGGATCTCTTTTCGTAGCCTATCCATATCATTGTTGTCAAGGATACCCCTACATAAATCTTCACACCCTTTGGGGTTACATACGTGACTCTCTTGCCTAACCAACGGTTCAAGAGTGGAAATAAATTTGAATGTATTATTATTTTTTAAAACTTTTTTTTATCAATTTATCGATTAATCAATCAACTCAACCAAATCGCGCAAGACTACACAATGACAAATCTCATTTTTAAAGATTTTTGAATGTATAAGGTTTTCATAAGGACCAAATATCATTTACGATCAAACAAAGTTATTCAATTAGAATAAAAGGCTTGATATATGTATGATAGATCTTGTAACTAAATATTTATAGCAATGTTTATTAAGGCCGACCCAGTCATTTTGGGGCAAAGCATCATGGGTTTGGTTCTATTGTGGATCACTGATTTAAAATTGATTTATTCTCACATATCAAATACTTAAAAATATGTTTAATTAAATTACTAAAAGGTATTAATAAAATTTAAGGAAATTTGTAAATATTTGTTTCAAGGACCTTATACGTGCACATGGCCAGATTTCAAGATGAATTTACAATAATTACTAGAGTAAACACCCTTTTTAGTCCTGGCAATATCTACGAAATCTTTTTTAGTCCCTGACAATAAAAAAAGATCAAATTGGTATCTAAAATTATGAAAAAAGGGTCACGTTAGTTCTTATGTCAACTCCTCCGTCACTAACGTGGCCCTTTTTACATACTGTTAGGAACCAATTTGGTCCTTTTTTATTGCCAGGGACTAAAAAAAATTCGTAGATATTGCCAGAGACCAAAAAAGATGTTTACTCTAATTACTGTACATGCAATGAATTAAATATTATTAAAAGTCATTCATTTGTTTTCTTATAAATTTTGAAATGATATTTGAAAAGACAAATTTTTAGTTTGAACAAAATATCATGCATTTAAAATGAATTTTTTTCA